ATACATACATAGATTTATGAATACATACAAACATTTATTATAAGATCAATCTGATACATTTTCTTAACTTACCTTTCTCCTACGGCCAAGTCAACTACACATTGTTTTACCAATTTCCATCCTCTGTACCCCCCCCCCATCCCCCCCCCCAATCTCTACAAAAGACCCAAAATCACCTCTAACCCTAATTCCACAGATAAATAATTCAAATTTTTGCTAATTTTTCTCTCGAAATGTCTTCAATATTCAAATAAATTGCTAAAAATAACTTTTCATGACTTTCACTTCACTTTACTTATTAAAAAATGGGGTCTCTATAGGGAAAAGAGTACCAATTAATTTCCCATAGAACTCTATACAAACCTTTTGCCCTCCAAGTAATTTACTAATTCCCGTTCAAACAAATCACTGGTATTATTTGAAAGTTCGTTCTAAGCACTTATTAAAAACACGAAAAAAAATATACCGTTCCGCGGCGTTTATAGGTCAAATTTGCAGTTATTTAGAACTTACAGAGATCGGCAGTAAATGACACCCTGCCAAAAATATCAATCCCCACTCCTACAATCTCCCCTGGTATTTCTAGAATTTTTGTAATATTCCCACATTCCATCATTTATTTCAAACATTAATATTTTTGCTTTAAAATGAAAATATTTACATACCTCAATTCAGCCAATCAGGTAAAGCCTACCCATTTATTACTCTGCTTCATCTTGTTCAACCAGGAAATGATGTCAAAATCTGGATCTTTGGTGCTCTTTTTCCATATACGCGACCTGAGTAATGTATAAAGAAGCAAATATTATGGAATGCCATTGCTGAATAATGTTTTATTCCCGATTATTTTATTATATACTGTGGTTCTTTTATTATATGCTGTGGTTCTTTTATTAAATGCTGTTGGTTTCTTATCATATACGCGGTGGTATACCGGTATATACATGTATAGGGAGGAAATAATTATGATATTACTTCTTATTGTAATGTATGTTCTAATTTTATTAAGAGTTACTGTTCTTAAATATGAGCTCTCCTGTAAAAGAAGGTAATAAAATCACTTGTTAACCCACAATGGTGTTGTGAATACACTACATGGTGTCAGAAGCGGTTGATATCTCCCCTTTTCCATTGCCATCTGCAGAAATAAGTGCTGCAGTTGTACAGAAGAGGATTCAAGGATTGTGATGGATACGATGAATTCAGCTTTCACGCCGAAATTTAACGGGGAGGCCCAGGATCTCGTTGAGGAGTGGCGCACGTTTATACAACACTTGGAATTCTGAATAAAGGGTCCATTGAGCAAAAATAAGGAAGAGGCGCATTGTAATCACCTGATAATATGGATAGACGACAAGAGAAAAGATATCTATTCAACGTGGATTCTATCAGAGCAAGATAGTAAGAATTTAAATTCTTAGTGATAAAGGAGAAAATTGAAAACCACGTGAAACCGAAGTCAAATCGTGTTTATTCGAGAAACAAGTTCCTCAGTAGGACACAGAAGGAGGGAGAAAAGTTTGAAAAATTTCTGACAGATCTCAGACTTTCAGTGAAAGAATGTGGATATAAGGACCAGGACGATATGATTAGGGACACTATCGTGTTCGTTAATCGCGATCACAAGGTACGTGAAAAATGCATTGGTTTAGGGTTCAGACTTGACCGTGGAGAAAGCTATGAACTTTGCACGTACATGTGAAATTTCTAAGCAGCAAATACAGTCTATGGAAGACAAATCGGTACATGGAATCTCGAAAGGTACGATACACCAAGCCAGAAGTCAGCACCAACTAAAATCGAAAGTGAATGTAAGAAATCGATAGTGAAAGACTGTAAATATTGTGTCCAAACTCATGAGTTTAAACGATACCCTGCATATGGTGAAATATATAGAAAAAAGGTGAAAATCCAAACCACTTTGCAGTTAAGTGACACACAGCTAAAAAGCGTGTACAAAGAAAAACAACAGGTCAAAGACTAGGCATGCAGTACACACATCAGATGAGGAATTCTTTATTGGTTCAGTGAATGTTAATGGTGGAAATCATGATGCAGAATGTTATGAAACAGTGAAGGTGAAGGACACTGATATTCACGTCCAACTTGACACCGGAGCAGAGTGTAATGTTTTTTCATCAGCTGATCTCAAGAAAAAAGACAAAAACCTGAAAGTTGCTCCAACCTTTTCACACCACTGAAGTCGTTCTCTGGACACTACATTCGTTCTCCTGGTACTATTATACTACCCTGTGTATAGAAGGATGCAGTGTTGCCATATGTGAAATTCTACATTCTACATGATACATGTTCCAAACTAGGACTTGTTCAGCGAATACACAGCATTGAGAGGAAAAACCGTGCTTTACCACATGACATTCCCTAGGATTATCAGGATTTATTAAGTGGACTTGGATGCTTTGAGCCAAGATTTTCAGCAAATAAGTTGCCACCTCTGGATTTTGGCAGACCAAACTAGATGACGAGAGTTCGAAACTCTGCAAATTTAATTCTCCATTTGGACGTTATTGATTCACTCGAATGCCCTTCGGAATCAAGTTCGCACCTGAAGTGTTTCAACGTGCCATATCTGAAATGATTCAGAGTCTCGATGGAACAGAGCCGAGTATTGATGATATCATTATATGGGGAACCACAGAAGCTGAACATGACAGACGTTTGAAAGCCTTATTGGATCGAGCAAGACAAAACAACTTGAAGCTCATCGTGTACAAGTGTGAGATCAGACGCTCAGAGCTGACGTACGTGGGACACAGATTTACTGACTCGTGTCTGAAACCCGATCCTGAAAAAGTGCTGTACAGGAAATGGACCGCCCCAATAGAAGGACTTGCAAACATTTATGGGCTTTGTTCAATACTTAGGGAAGTTTATGCCTAATCTAAGAGAAGTTAGTAGTCCATTACGACAGTTACTGGAGATAAATACTCTCTGGAAATGGGAAAATGAATAGGAAGAAAGCTACGAGAAATTGAAACGCATGACTACTAGTGCACCGATCCTTCAGTACTTTGATCCAAACAAGCCAGTTATGTTGTCAGTAGATGCCAGTTCTAAAGGACTAGGTGCAGTGTTAATTCAGGAAGATTAGCCAGTTGCATACGGATCAAGCACACTGACAGAAACACAACAACGATATTCCCAGATTGAGAAAGAAACTCTATATGGATGTACAAAATTCCATAATTATGTATATGGTCACAGTGTACTGGTTGAATCAGACCATAAGCCTTTGGAAAGTATCTTCAAGAAACCTGTTCTATCTTCACCTCCAAGACTACAAAGATTCGAGTTAGCACTTGAAAAGTATGACATTCAAGTAGTTTACAAACCTGGAAAGAAAATGTTCTTGGCTGAACTTTTCAGTCGTTCCTATCTGAAAGAGACTAAGGAAGCCCTCGTACCAGATCTACAGGTGAATGAGATACATCTTACTTCATACTTACCTGTGTCTTAGGAAGTACAGGACAGGATCCGGAAGGAAACAGGTCAAGATGATGAGTTACAGAAACTCTTGGACACTATCTTGGATGGATGGCCAATTGCAAACAACAAAGCAGACCTAGCACCGAAAATTAGAGCCTACTGAAATTTCCGTGATGAACTTTCAGGCATTTATGGTATTCTTTACAAGTCGCACAAACTGATTGTTCCAAAGTCGATGAGGAATGAAATGCTGGAGAAGGTACATATTGGACACCAAGGAATTATGAAGACCAAAAACCAAGCGAGAGAGATTCTCTTTTTGAACGGTATGGAAAAAGTCATAGAGAACCTCTCATGTGCAACTTAGTGCCAAATATGAGGCTGCTAATCTTAAGGAACCAATGATCCAAAGTGAACTTCAGTCAAGACCGTGGTCTAAGATTGGAATCGATTTTTTTAACTTAGTGGAAACCATTACTTACTGGTAGTTGACTATTTATCTAAGTGGCAGAACTTGCCAAACCGGAGTCGCTTACCTCTAAGTGTGTGATCACTCATTTTAAAAGCATGATTTCCAAATACAGCATTTCAGATATCATAATTAGTGATGATGGACCACAATTCAGTACATGTGTGTAGTTATGAGTTCAAAGAGTTTGTGAAATCATATTCCATCACACATACACTGTACTAAGACCAGTCCGTACCATACTCAGAGTAATGGACAGACAGTGCGAATGGTTCAGACCATGAAACGTCTTATCATCAAATCGCAAGATCCATACTTAGCTCTTTTGGAGTATCGGAACACCAAGATTGATGGTATTGATATGTCACCAGCATAGCTATTTCTAGGACGCAGACTGAAGTCTATCTTACCTACAGCAGTCCCTCTGTTGAAATCACATGTAGATGACAACATGTTGGTCAAGATGAAATGTCAACAGGAAAAACAGGAAGAGAACTTTAACAGACATGCTAAGAAGGAAACACTTAAACCTCTCAAGGCAGGAGCCAATCAGGACAATGGACAAGCGGATTCGTTAAAGACTTGAACCCTATGAAACGGTCTTACGTCATCAAGAGCAAAGGAAGATGCTACAGACGTTCATGTTATGAACTGAATATGAACTCTCCTGTAAAAGAAGGTAATAATATCAGTTCTTAACCCACAGTGGTCTTGTGAAAAACACTTATGGGCCTGATTACTGGATATATTGAATCTTAATTTCAACGAAATTCTTTTTCAGGACAGATTTTAGGGATCATAGATACATTATTTTCAAAGGAACAAAGGAAGAAATTTGGAAGTTTTTGACCTCATTTACACGAACATATAATAATCGTCCCAAAACATATAATTGTAAACCTACAGCATATAATTATGCAACCACATCATATAATAATCGAACCACAGCTTATTAATACATTGTTTTAAACCACAGTTTATTAGAAGAGACTCACAAAATACAATAAAACAACTAACGTGAGGAAGTCATGGCGTTCCATAAACTTACACTTCGAAACGAAAGTAGGTGGGCTGGGTATATCCTTTTTATTTATCAAGTACATGTATAGAACGCCATTTGCAAAAAATCGGGTATCAAAAAGGTAACTATGTTTCTTTTAACATAATCATTTAAATCTTTACTCAGTTTCCATTCCAATGTATAGCAATACAGCATTGCTACAATTTTCTCTATTTATAGATACATATCAGAATGGATTACATTCCTCATCTATCAGAGGTCCTGTATGTCGGTCTGCATCGTAAGATAGGGACGCCGACGGAAGTGGCGATCATAAGGGATGTGATGGACATGGAGGAGATGATACAAAAAAATGTTTATAATCATATTGGAATTGTTGAGATGAAGAGTGGTAGTTATAGAGAAGGATTTAGGTTGAGATCATCGGACAGGGATTCAATGATCTGTTTTTGTAATTATAAATTGATAACTGACATATCGCAGTCGTGGCTTTATAATACATCAAAATATAGAGTTGTGCTAATAGAAGATTCTGATACACCGCCAGGGTTTGTCAGATTACGCCTCCTGACTCCAACACGACACAGTATCACGATATCTTGTCTTGTTCTATGTAATGGTAATGCCTATATATCTAGCCGTCTGTTGAGAGAAATTCATTTTCAACCTATGAATAAAAAAGGCCTCAAGATTGAAAATGTAAAAATTCATGGTCCTTGTAGAAGTGGTGTCATTCATTCTATTGAATTCGATGAAGCTTGTTGTCTATCCTTTTTTCCTTGGCCTAAACCATTAGGAAGTTGGGTTGACAGATGCTTAAGACATACTTGGCCGTCTGCATCAGTGATAGAAAGAATTCTAAAAAATGAATGTCACTGTGTGGCTATTGGAAGTAAAGTTGAATCGCCTTATAACGAGCTGGAATGGAGATTATCGTATTCACAAGCCGAGCAACAACTAGTGTGTGCCATGTATCATACACAATTTTCATGTTACGGAATCTTAAAAAATATTTCTGAAGGACGTCATTAATTTAAGGGAGGAACCACTACTGTGTTCATATTTCATGAAGACCACAATATTCTGGATGATTCAATTAGGTCACATGAAATGGATCCCAAACAACATACTAGATTGCTTTTGGAGGTGTTTCAAATATCTCATACATTGTGTTCATCGAGAAGATTTTCCAAACTTTTTTATTCCACAAAACAACATGTTCATTCACAAAGTTGTTGGTGATGCACGTGAATCTCTTTTACGGCAGCTTCATCAGTATTACAGAATGGGCGTTTCCTGTCTACTGCTGAGCCCAACTCTCAGATCAATACTAGAACCAGCTCTCAGTAGCCCGTACTATGTGTTATCTTCTGTTGAGGGAGAAATTTTGAGTGATTTAGATATATGTGGAATGACTGAAATAATTCAATTATCTTTTTCATCTGAAGACATATCAAAGTCATATCTTTATTTAAAGTCAATTAACAAACTATCTCGTTTATCACTCTCTTCATACCAGTTGTTAACATTACAGTTCTGTACTGCTGAGACTCTTGTTCGTTTAGCGTTCATAATGACAAATCGTAGTTCATGTTGCTCGCATACAACTATATATAACTTAGATATATTAATTTGTGGCATGTTGAAAATGGCAGCAAGATTAGGTCATATGTCTCATTTACTTTATCTAGCATTGTATTATTATAGAACATGGAGATTTGATAAAACACTTCATATCACTCATATCACTAAACAAAGACTATCGCAGGCATTTATTATGTATATGGAAACTGTTGATAAGCAGAGGTACCATAAAGCTGTAGGTAATATGCCATTGTCTAGAAGAATGAAGATAGCCTGGGTTGTCGATGTGCGTTCAGTGCGTAAAAATGTCCCCTTTCTTGAAGAATTATGTTTAGAACAGTTTGTGAAGTCAACAAAACGGAGGCACACTCTTATTTGTATCACCGTTTATTATGGTAGAGATGTTGTCTGTGTTATCTCACTATAGACTGGGCAATAGATCTCAGTGTTTACAGTCACTGACAGACCTACAGACACTGCTGCTCTATGATAACGGGAGATATGTTCCTTTACGAATCAGAGACCTATCCTGGCAGATACTAGGAATCTGTCAGCATGTTTGTGGGAGACTTACACGGGGCTTTACGGTCTTATGAAGAATCGCTCAGACAGGAACCATATCACAGAATAAAAGAAGCCACAGATCATAGAACAGAATGCGTCAAACAACAAATACAGGTAAATGTATGATTGTTAGATATGTTTGTCGATGTTTCTATCTTAATTTAAAGAGTAAAGACCAGAAAATTGCACTTGTTTGATAAAATTGAGAAGGACATGGATATGATAATATGCCCTCAAATTAAAGTATACTGGAAATGTTTGACATATTAATATATTTTATATTGAGAATACGTCATCAAAAAGCTATAAAAATACAAATTAAAGAATTCTTTATTTACATCAACTGAATCCTTTTTTTTTTTTAGTTTTTTTTTAATAATCATTATAACCACTTTCTTTAATCATTCTGTTTATGTGTGAAGGAGACCTTAAGGTAGGACACAATAGATGGGTCAAATTTTTCCTCAAATTCAATTTTTCTGAAAATTTGAAATTTTGTTCTAGGATACAAAATCTCTCTTAATATATAATATGAAAGAAATTCAACCGCACATATTTTGTCCACATTGTCTGGAATATGGGCTATTGATCAGACCCCTGTAAGAAGATTGTGAAATCAGACACTCGACTTGAAAATGAGCCTTATTTTAGAATTATTAATTGATCTATTGCAAGTTTGTGTTATAATTTTGATTAAGATAACCTTTTTGTTATTTTAATTTAGTAAGCCATATTGATACTGGACCATTTGAGAAAAATATTAACTAAAAATAGAATATACGTAGCGTCGGAATGTAAAAATTCACACGTAAATATCCTCAATTAAAGTTTTCTAAAGAAAAAATGTATGATTCAATTTTTGCAAAAAATTAACAGAATGATTTATATGGGTCCCCAAATAAAATATGTAAAAATAAAGAAAATTGAACCGATGGTTTCTGACATTTTGTCGATTAAAAAAGATTCAAAGGCAAAAAAAAACTAAAAGATTCAGTAGATGACGTCACAATATTTGACCTTTGACCTCTTTATACGACCATGACCTTTAGAGTACGCAAAGAACGGAGACTCCTTATATATGTCTCCAAATATCAGCCCTCTACGTTTTATGGAACAAAAGTTACACTGCATTTTATATCAGACTGTTACATGCTTGTTTTTTGCACTTAGATAGCGTAAACACATTCCAAAATGTAGGCTCCCAAGTGACCAATATAGAATTCTCTGATTTTTTCACGAAATATGATGCAATCATGACAAAATTTGTTATTTTTATTACAGGGGTCATTCATTGTTGTCAATAAAGTAATATTGTTCTTTTTTTCTCTCCAGTATCTTTTAAGAAATTAGTAAAAATAGAATCCAGGGGTGTTTTGTTCTACCTTAAGCAAATGGTTTTTCAATGAATGTACCATGACGTACACATCAATAATACAATATTTCACATACATGAATGTACGTTGTAGAATTATATGATTAAAAAGACATAAATATTAACAAAAGAATGTTTTTCTTTCTTTTAAGGTAGTAGTCTTCGCTGCTTTCTGACTAGATGAAATATTTAAAGTACATTTGCTAATATGTCTTATATACGGTAGTTAGGTGCAAGAGATTAAAAAGACCATCACAATTGTACAAATTTAAATAGTTAAGTTTTAGTTAAAGAAGTATTTTATTCATAATATACAAAGAAGTATACAATGAACATGGATTGAACAGAAGACCAACGGTCAACAAATTTAAATAGAAAACTATAAGGGACTATATTTTTGACGCAATGGTAACGTATGAAAATGCTTTCCTGCCTCTAAAAATTATTAAAGAACAATGAATTTAGTTATAGTTTTGAAACACTCAAAGACTTGATGAACTTTTCAAATGTAACTTTATTTAATAATAAGGGACTAAAGTTCCTAAATATCAAATTAATATTATTTTTTAAACAAACTAGAACTACATTGTATGTTGGCTTTTATAAGCTTCCAATCTGAGTACAGATTTAAGCTTAAATCCGTGAAAAGTATTTTTCCCTCTTAGTAAACGATCGAAACTTTTTATTTTTGTATCATTTTGTATCTCTATAAGACAACTTTACCATATGCGAAAAAGAGAAAAATTTAAGCATATAAAAATAAATAATATAATTATCCTAAAAATTTAGGAAAAGTAGAGAAAATTTGGATCAGCTTACATACATTTCAGTCACATTATTTGTTTAAATTTTGTAACATCATCTTATAGGCGCTTTATGGCAGTATCTTTTTATGCAAGAAGAAAGACCATTCAATCTTTTTAAAAACAAGTAGGTACTGCATAATTGACAACATTATTTTCTGGGCCCGGATCGATGGGTCCGGGGTGTATATTGTTTTTATCCTGTCTGTCTGCAAACTTTAACCTTCGTCATAACTTTAAAACCACGAAAGATAGAAACTTCATATTTGGTATGCATACTTCACTAATGAAGCTCTTTCAAATGACACCAAAGTCAATGACCTTGTGACCTTGATTGTGACCTATATACTAAAAATAGCTTTTTCCTGCAAACTTTAACCTTCGCAGTGACTTTTAAACCATGAAAGATAGAGACTTCAAATTTGGTATGCATAATCTATTAATTGATCTCTTTCTAATGATTCCAGAGTTTATGCCCTTGTGATCGTTACTGTGAGCTATATGCTAAAAATAGCTTTTTGTCTCCAAACATTAACCTTCGCCATAACTTTTTAAATATGAAAGATAAAGACTTCATATTTAATATGCTTACTACACTTATTAAGCTCTTTCAAATGACACCAAGGTCAATGACCTTATGACCTTGACTGTGACATTTATGCTAAAAATAGCTTGTTTGAACCTTTACCATAATTTTTGAATCATGAGAGATAGAGCCTGCAAAAGTAGCTTTTGTTGCCGTCGGGCGCATAGTGTGTCACAAACACATGTTGTTTTTATTATTAATGTCCAGGAAAAAGGTTATGACCTGACCTTATCTCTAATATAAAACGGTGAAATTAAATTTCACTGATAACATCACTCAGTGATATTATCTTTTTGATTCTGTGAAAATTTTGTTAATTTTTAAATACAAGAAATATGAGATGAATCCTACCTTAAGGTTGGACTAAAACCAAAGAGCATAAACTGAAAATATTGGAAATATGCAGATAACATGTCTGTGTACGCCATTTCTATCTGACTAATACATTAAAATACTTTTGATAATAGATTTTAAAAAATGGGCAATGATACATACATTTTAGAAAACATTAGATTGAAATTCTAGTTAGGTTGTGTATGTGCATGTATCCTTTTCTTCCAAAAATTAATTCTCTTTAATGTTTGTTTTTTGGTTTAAATTGCATTTTTATAGTAACAATATGTCATACCATGAGTTAGCATGCTGTACAATAACTTTTGTATTAACTGTCCCTGGTAAAATCAAAATTTACAACTTGAAATTTTCCATCATTAAAAAATATATATTAAAAAAAAAAAATCATAATTCCGTTTTTTCTGATATGGTAAAAAAATTCATAAAAGTTTATTGATGGGAATTCGAACAAATTGTTGGAAGACATTATCTCCGAAAGCGACACAGAAACTCAAGCATCTTTGAAATATCAACTTCAGAGTACATGTATGACTAGAATGATTTTAACCAAACAAAATTGCTAATGACCACCTAAAGTGTAGTAAATTCACACGTTGTAGTGGGTATCCTTATTGAATTTTCTGAGACACTTTTGAATGACAATTTGAAGCTCCAAGAGATGATTCGACGCTCTTTGGTGATCCTTTGGTGTTTTACAAAAGACTATCTGTTATATTTGAAAAATATTCCAATGGTTAAGATTGCCTTTTTGTACAAGACTTAGTGCATAAAAACATGCGTAATGCAAAAATAATTGCAAAACGAATACTTTAAACGGAGATGTTGATTTTCTTGTTTAATCAACTTGAATTCCAATAAATTGCACCGTTTTAGAGATTGGTTGTACTTAGATCATGTTCTTGCGTATCGAATCTATTGAAAGACATGAACCCCACATGCATGTAAAAAAGTGTAAATTACTTCATATCATGACAATATCTATTGCAAAAAACTAACTATAAGATAAATAAATTTACTTTACTTTTACTAGTTCGATTAATTTTAGAAGCAGCTACGAATGAAGTTATTGATGTCAAAAAGTCTGGATTTTAAATTTATCGTGGGGTAATAAGTTTATATATGTGGAAAAAGCATTTGTTTTGATATTTTTTTTATTTTGTAAAGCACAATGTAAAAAAAGTATTTTTGGATAAATGTCCTAGAACTTTAAGTTTAAAAAAATTGAAAAATACACATTCTTTAATCTCGGTTTATTATGCGGAATACATAATATACATAAATGCAACATGAAAGGGTGACTGTCAAATAAAACGTTTCGGTATTCATAGGTCAAACAAATGACTTCCATGACAAAAGACTAGCAAGACAAAAACATGAGACAAATGACGAAATGAACTATGTTCTCACCGCAAAACTGTTAGATATATATAATTATATAGAATACCGTCTTATTTGTTCTTTTTTTTGCATCATAATACACATTTTAAAAGGTTTATTTCGATAAGTCATGATGAACTCTCGGCTAAGAAGGATGAAAGAGATGAAAAGTTTTTTATAGGTCTAACATTCACATGTAAGTGATGGTTAATTGAAAACCACAAAGTCAAATAGCCGAAATGATTGATACACCAAACGCATGCCAAATGTAATCCATTTCCGCTATACATTTTGGAATATATTGAGTATCAAATCCAGATTTTTTCATTAATAATAATTATCATTTTTATGAAATCATAAAAATTTATTAAATCCGGTAACCTTTAATCACCATATATTTGAGTAAATGAATTGAACAGGTTCATTCCCCTTAAATGAAGAAACTATCTATAATTGGAATATTAGAACTAGGTTGCATGTTATTTCGATTAAAATTCATGATATTAGAACTGATTAAATATGCATGTACAAATGTACATTGTCAAGCAAATTATGGGGCATAAAAAGGATCATATCAAAATGAATCAACGGGGCATAAAGAGGATATTAAGTACGAATCAAGACCTAGCATATATTGTTTCCCCTCTTGGAAATTGTAAACGAAAGGCACAAAGA